AACATTAATTAAGTAGAATATTGCGGAACCAACCTCAATTTGTGGTTCCCAGTAATCTACTGAAAGGTGCTAATTTCCGCTCTTCACCTAGTCTAATAAAGTTACATTATGTTATGAAATATTCTGGTTTTACAATTATAAATAGTGTAAACTTTTCAGGGTGGTAAGAATTATAACAGCAGGAATAAAATATTTAAAAAAATATCTTCTCCAAATATAAGTTTTGCTAACTGTAATTTTACCACAAATAAAAATAATATTGCACACACGCTATATGATAATAGAACCTTTTGTCCTAAAACAATTATTAACCGAGATTGAGATTTTCCCAACATTTACAACCTCAATTATTTGCTTCTTTTGACAAACATCATGTATACCATAATTATTTAAGTCGCTGCATATTAGATAATATGATGGTAAATACAGTTTAATTTTGAATTTGTAATTCTTACATAATTTGTTATTCATTTGTTTCTTATGGAGGCACAATGAGACAAATAAAACCGTAAAGTACTTATGCAGCCAACAGAAGTTTTCTAATGGTTGTGGAAAGCATTAAAAATTCCCGATGAATATTTAAAATCATCATTATCAAATTCAAGTCCAAATGAGTAGTAAAATCCCAATCCGTGTCATGTTTTAGTTATTCACGGTGATTATTATTACTTGCATAAATGTATGCTAATAGATTACAAAACTACCACTTTAAGACAAATGCATAGCGAAATACGCATGCAAATAGCCATTCACATATACACGTACAGTTTATATTACTAAAGCGTAACAAAATGCGTGAGAAACGAAAGTTTTTTTTACCGAGGATGGATGAATGAAGAATAAGTTTTAATCCACCTTTGAACTAGTAAGAGCAACATTTAGAAATTGTGCTTTTTTGGTAATTACGCTGTAGTAATACTGATTTTCTGGTTTCTCGCTTATTCAAGTTGGCTTAATAGCTTGCGGATTGCTAGATGTTGATATAATTATATAAATGTATAAAATTCGACATTTTGACGTACTATATTAAAAAAATTGTTGGACTGTTTTTAAAAACGAATCCCTCCCGTATAGTTTTGTTAAAACGGGAATAACTTTTTTAGCCTTTTAGTAAAAAATGAACGCACTAAAGTCTTAAAGGTTCCAACTATTTTTCTTCATTATTTTCATAATTTTTCAAATACTTAGCTTTCTTTGTATAGTAATTAATACAGTATTTTGCGTAAACCTTATACATCATGCTTCTATCATATTAAAGAAATTTTTAAATGCTACTGCGGAAATATTTTTTTCACGCCTTTTTTCAATCTTAAAATGTAATATTCGCATTCTGAAAGTGAGAGTTATAATCTGATCGCAATGCGCTCTCCTCCAATTTAATATCAACTATCGAATTAAAAACCGTAACTATCTAACTGAATAGCAGTTTTACACGAAACAATTTCAAAATAGCTGCAAATGTGGGTTTTGCTCAGAATGACAAAAAAGGCCTACTTAGGAACTCCAAAAACTAAAATGATATAATTGGAATTTTTCTTTCATAAAACATGGTATTAAATAGTTGGGTGCAATCCGGAAAGATAATTGTTGGAGTCTAGTTATTTAACTATGCCTGCGATGATTAACGGACTATGAAATCGATATCTCAGCAAATTACTAAATAGTAACAAGTCAAAATTGCCTCAAAACCAACTTTCTTCAAAGTAAAATGCCAACTTAATGAACGACATCATTTCAAGATTATTTTCGCAAATTGAACACTAATAATTTTTCATTTCTCAGGTAGGAGAAATAAATCATGAATAAAATTCAACTGTTTCAATCAAAAACATTCAAGCAAGACGCTGTAGATGTATTAAAATGTATTCACATTCGATAATATTCTCCATGAAAATGTACGATTAATTTTAAAAAAGTATACTTTCATTCTCAAAAAATCGATGCAATAGGTTTTGAACTGAAATTGTCGTCAGTCAGACGGAAATCTTGTACAACATATAGAAATTAAGAGAAATAATCTAGATAATATACATAATGATTTAAAATAAATAAATGCCTCAAGTGTCCATCCGTTGAAAACATTTGATCAAAAATGAAACATCTGAATTTCGTAAAATACTTTTTGTTATTGTTGTAATTAAAAGCTGTTATTTTACTAAATCCGTATTGCAAACAAAAAATTGTAAAAATGAACATGCAACTTAAAATTTCCTGAAACACTTTTCAGGCGTTTTGTTTAAATTGAAGAAGGCAAAAGTTGTTTGGCTTAGTCCACTGATTTAAATAAAAATTAAGGAATATGATTCTCTAAAATTAGGATCAGAAAGCTATTTTGTATCAATACACATAGGTAGTAATGTGCATTTCGGTTTAATTGTTGTTTATATGTTTATATATTATTTGTTATGTTTATATATTTTATATTAGTTAATTTCAGAATTAAGAGTTTTCAGAACCTTCTTAATCGGGTTTATAAATTTCTAATGAGATAATATGCAAATATAAATGCAACAAGAAACAAAAAGAAATAAAGTTTAAATATTCTGAAATTATTAAGCATCGAATTAGCGATGATTCATTTCCGTGCGCTGTTGTTTCTTTTTAATATTCCCATTGGGCGATTTATCTATTTCGCTCGTACGTTCTTCAGCAGTAAAAACTCATTTAACGCGCCCTTTTTTCTATTAGTAAAATAATATGTTTTTAAATGATAATTGTAAGGTTAAAAGTTTCCACTCCAACTTTAAGTCAATTAATTAATTTCAGCTTCAAATGTTTATTGGTGAGACAAAATAGGTTCACATCATCGCAGCAAATTTTTCATACAGATGCCAATTAAAAACTTAATTATTACGAATCTCATCAATAGGTAATTAATTATGGTTACATGTAAGAGAAAAGCCAGGTATCTTATCTTTTCGCTTCACTTTCATTCCTTTGCACTTGACTAAGTAGATTCATCTAGTTTCTAATTTAGATTGAATCGGGTGATCCGCCCAAATCATCCGTTAATAAACTAACATAAAATGTAAACAAAAACGAAAAGAAAGTTTTGCCTTGAAACAATAAACAGCGATTTTTTATTGATTCAAATCATATCAACACAAAAAGCACATAAAAGGCACAAAACGAATTCTACTCGATGATGAATTAGATAGCTCTCGTTGCAAATGTCTTGTTGAAATGTCTGAAAAGATAATGACTTATATTAGATGGAAATAGAAAAACGTATTTTATTGTAGTCAGAAAGAAAAAGATAAAAACATTATTAGTTTGCAAACTTTTCGTCCTAAAATTTGCTTTGATAACTTTCATACTTATCTTCCTTGCTACAGGTTTTACTAGCAGTTATTCACTAGTCGTGAGCATGAACTAGAGGATGTAATTTTTTCAACATGGAATCGATACGAAATTGTTCCGTTATCGTAAAAATACTCGTTTGCAACAAATTCAACTTGATAAAAAAATTTAAAGCCTCATTAAAAATGTATGGGGTGTCTCAACAAGTACCAACACTTTAATTTTTTAATGGCCGAATGTAAGTTTAAAAAAGTCCAATTTAATAAATGTTTGCCTCTTTATGTTCCTTTGCTGTTTCAGAATACCACATTTCAGTTTGTCTTTATTCTAACACAAGACATTAAGCCAAGAATAAGGAAAGTGGGTTTATGAACTGTTTAACGCAATGGAAATGCGACATTAAAGTTCCATGCTAAAATAATTACACATTTAAATGTTAACAACTTGTCACCCTATGCATTATATTTTCTTGGATCAACGAAGTGAAGTAACAACCATTAACAAAATACGTTATTAAAAAATGATTGTTGACGCAAAATAATAAGTGGACAATTGAGCAAAGTGGGATGTCCGTCGCTCATGAAGATAAAGTTGACAGGAATTTACTAAAAAAATTATTCCTTTATTAATCGATTTCATTATAATAACTGGAACCTTATTTATTTTATTTACAGAAATGCCAGTAAGAGTTCAAATTAACCATGTTCAATTTTTTTTTCTTCATATTGTTGGCACCGCGATTCTTTTAAGAAAGCACAAAAAACTAACTGATGAAATTATTTTATTATGTTAATCTGAAGTGACTGAACCTGATTACGCTTACTAATATAAAAATGAGGGTTGTTTCTCTATAATATCCAAAAGTGCCATTTCCTAACGTTTATTATTTCCTTTATTTCAAATTCATATTTGGATGGGAAGGCAAACAATTAGGTTGCCTGAGTGAACTATTGCTGGAACACCGTGTACTAATCGTTTCAGTATTACACTATCCTACATGTATATCCAGTTCAAAGCGTAAGTTTAAATTTTAGTCTATTTTAAAACATTCAAGTCTACACTGAATAAAAATTATCCGTCGCAATCGTTATGAGTTTTTCAAGTAAGTTTACTTTTAGTTAGTAAGGAAAAATAAATGCCCATATTTGATTTATATGCACCAGCAGCAATTCATGTTTCACCCACTCCAATAATAATAACGATGGCAAATTGTTAATAATTAAGAAATCTATTAATCGACTTTATAAGATATTTCACTTGCTTGACGCTTTAAGTATATGTAAAGCATATCAATTATCTTAAATAATATTCAGAGTACTTCAGAACTATGGAATCAAGCTTTTAAAAATTGTTTATTGAAGCAATAGAAGGGATTTGAGTAAAATAAAGACCTGTGGTCATCACAAGGATAAGCATTAGTAATTCTTAGAATAATAAGAATAAAACTAGGAATAATAAGATTAAGAATAATAAGACAATAAAAATACAGAATATTAGTCAAGCCTTTATTGTTGTTTTTGCTTGAACAATGACTTGGGTATTTCATCTCTATTCGATTAGAACTTGAGCAGTGGCGAATCAAGATCAACGTTCAAAAGCCACTTTGCAAAGTGTAATTAGCTAAATTTTCCCAGTTGATCTTTAATCTGCCACTTGAGAAGAAAAAAAAGATGTCCATATCAAATTGATGCCAATAAATATATTAGCTGGTAAACAATTGGGGAGCTTTTAATATTGGCGATCAGTTTTAGACCAGTACAAAATGAAGCTAGGAATTCTGATCGTTTTCTGTGTGAGTGCTGTTCTGGGACAACACGATCCTCATTTTTTGGAGGGTAAAAACACGATTGTCCACCTTTTTGAATGGAAATGGTCAGATATTGCTTCAGAGTGTGAAAATTGGCTGAGCAAAAAGGGCTTTGCTGGAGTACAAGTAAGTACTTCAAAAGTTTCTGCTACACAGTCACACATAAAATACAGGCAGAAACTCGTTAAAAATGTGATGTTAATGTAAAGTTTCTGTTAAAATTACGATTTTAACAAAAGATTTTAAATTATGATTTAACTTGCAATGTAACGCCTCTCTTCCATTTGCTTCATTAGAGCTTCTAAGACTTCAATTTGCAAATACATTATTCATTTAAAAGAAAAATAACATGGAGACAGAATGTCAATTTCTAACAGATTAAAAGAGAAAAGGCTTTTTAAGAATCCAGATGTTTTCTGTATAATTGGTTATATTTAAATATTCAAAATTATGTTACTCTACTGATGCAGGAAACAGTGACATACAATACAATAGCATGAAGTACCTTGAAGTTGATAAGAAATTTGTTGTGGGTTGTTTCCTGTTGATAACAAATTCAGGTTTTCAATTCTCTTGAGCTTACTTTTATTACTTCAATTAGAATTTATTATACTCGGCAAATTGTTTTGGGATGGGTCTTATGAAAAGTTTCATTTAACTACACGTCGCAAGTTTACAAATTTGCATCGAGCAAAGCCTTACGTTTAAACAAATATCGTGGACTATAAAAAAATCGGATAAATTGCCGACTGAACAACAACCATCTGCTCTGATATCGATTTTAATCTGACCGCAAATTTAAAGTCATCGAAATTTTATTCAATCACAATCCAATTCGGTTACTTGAATTGCATTGCAAATATTTTGTATCCTCACAATTTGAAAGTATTTAAAGTGGAATACCAAGTAATATAATCAGATGGGATTCAAGTTGTTTACTAAAAACCAATTATATCCATGAGTGTTGCAAATGGTTAATATTTTGAAACTGTTTCATTCATCCGCTACTGAAAATGTTTGTTCTAGATTAATTAAGAAAATATTCAAGCTTAGTGTAGAAATATTAATAAATCTCGCATTGCCAGTTAGTTATATGCTAATACATTGTGTGGGAAATGAGACCAAAAGCCACTATACAGGGTGTCACTAGCTAGATAATCACTTAGTGAGACCTGATGTTTTTATTGCACCTTGGAAATGATGTTAGTTTGCTTGTTTATGTGCCATTAGAGCGAAAATTATATGCCTATTTATGTTCAAGCTTGTTGTATGACCTGATATTTCCTTCTTCTATAGATACTTCAAAATCATCAAAAAAAATCAAGTTACGAATCGCATCTGTTCACTTCCAGTACACTCATCAGCATATTTAGATACTTAATAATTACATTAAATAAACGCAAACAATTTAAGAAAACCTACACGTACCTATATAAATTTACTTTTGAGAAATTTATTTCTCAAGCTTATTTCATTATGGTTTAAAAATAATCATACTTTTGGTATCTGTAGATTTCACCACCAAGTGAAAACGCAGTTGTTGAGGGACGTCCATGGTGGGAAAAATATCAGCCGGTTAGTTACATTCTTCAAAACAGGAATGGTGGCGAAAGTGCACTTGCTGATATGATAAAACGTTGCAACAATGTGGGAATCAGGTAAACTTGTAATCTTTTTTAAATTTGGAAAAATATGATTAGAGCATCAAGTACTGGAATAATTCCATTTTCAATGTGGGCACTTTAACATGTCATAAAAGGTCATAAGAGGATCGGATAACATATCATAAAAGGTCATAAGAGGATAGGATTTTATGTAAATTGGGGTGAAAAATCCAGCTGTAATAATTGATTGATCAATAAGACTAGAAAGACAAGCACTTCTGAAAAGGCCGATTTTGAAATTTTCAGAATTTACGCCGATCTTGTTGTGAACCACATGGCCACATCCACTGGCCAAGGCACAGCTGGTAACACTTGCGATCCATCCAGCAAGTCGTATCCGGCGGTTTCTTACAGCGAAGAAAATTTTCACACTTCCTGTGATATAGACTATAATGATGCGGCGTCGATTAGAAACTGTGAACTTTCTGGTAGGTGTCAATTTTATCAAATTCCATTGTAGCACTTTTGAGACTTGACACAAACAATCTTGAGAATAGAGCAACTCGCAAAATTGTACATAAGAATAACATCAGTAAATAATTGTTTCATTGTATGCAAAACATATGTCCTGAACAAGAGTGGTTGCAGTATAAATTAATTATTATCCAATGTTCATTTAAAATTAGAACGCCATAGAATCTGCTGTTGAAAGAGCTGCATAGTTGGAAAACTATTTAAAACAATTTTCATACTTTATTTGGTGTGATTTTTAACCAAATGTTACATTATGAGTAAATGGTTTTTTGATATTAACGAAGGCTTACTTCTCAAAATCAGTAACGGCCG